TCTGCAGTTTGTATTTTCTCTGTACAATGTAAACACATGGACCTTAAGAGAAGGTATTAACTATACTTTGTTTCACTTGTGCTAGATTGGCTGCAATTGAAGAAATATGCGATTAATATGACTGCTAGAATGCAAAGAAGGAATAGTAAGGACCTAGAAAGCATTGTTCTGTGAGTCAATCCTGCTAGGTTGGTATATTACATAAAGTAAGCTTTCATGAACTTGTGCTTACCGCTGCTTCCTCTAACATTTCTATTCTCCATTTCTATCCTTCTCAAACTAAAAGGAGGTTGGCCTCTGTTTCATTGATTGATGGGTAAAGATGAGAGGATGGGATGGCTATGGTAGCTCATTTGAGATAATTTGAAAAATGGAGGGAAGCAGGACTTACCAAAACAGGTTAATATGGTTCGGGTTTTGCTGTTTTGGTTTGGATTTACCAATACATTTGGTTTCATACTTCTTATGTTGTTGTCTATTTAGTGTTTTGTTATGTACTTTATTTAGCTTAATTGCATTTGAAAATTGGTTTCGTGTTTGCCTAATTCAACTATCCATTTGTATCCTAAGGAATTCATTGGCACTACTATTGCTGATTTGAGATCATGTGTACACTATGAATCGATCAAGCTATCTGACATGCATTCCATACAACGTTCAACCATTGAGGGACAAGGTACAGGCTCTGGTGCTGATTTTTTGCTTCTTCAGTGGATGTAGGTTTTGTTGTGCTTTTAGTCCATATAATGCAATAGCAACAAGCCTTTTGCTTTTCTATTTTGTTTTCTCCAGCCTTTTAATTGCCTCCATTCTCCTTATTGCAGCACAGAAGTTATGTGAAAGGGCTAATGACAATGGTATCATTCACCATTCCCTTTATCAAATGGACCATGCCCCTTAACAATCAAAGGCTAGCCATGGAGTAGTTAAGAGGTCTGAAGTTGCAGTTCTGGACTGTGCTCTTTACAACTACTTATTTTGTAAGCTCTTATATAAAACATTGTGTTGATGCCATAAATATTAAGGGGAAATTTTATGAAATGCTTGGTCATTTAGCTTTACTGGCAGAGATTTAGTTTCCAAATAAAGTTATTTTAATTGATTTTGTAATCCCATATGTTGCATTCATTGCAGTTATAAAGGAATTGCTCATATTTAGTGCTTGATAACATGGGAAACAAGAGCTCCTCTTTTCTGTTGTAGCAACCTTTGAGCCTTGGTAAGTGTTTCACCTCTTGGAGTGGGGTGATTAATTGTTTCAAGGTTGCTGTTTTTTTTTTTGTTAGTTGGTTCATAGATTCATTACCAAAAACATGTGCAGCTGTAAATTTATAATCTGTTGAAAGTAAGTTAGAGATCAGTTGAACTGATTGCTGCAAATGGTTAGAAAATCAAAATGTGCTTTTCGAAGCTTGCACTAGCAAATTTCATTGAGCCTAATAGTGAAATGATGTTGAAACTCTTTTAATGCAAGTTCACTTTTGTTCAACATTTTGTGATCATTAACTCTGGTGTTTGAAATGATATATGCTATTTGGAGGTGAAAATTAGTATAGATCTTTATTGTCATGGGTCTCCAAGTTTAGTATGTTTAAAAGTTGCAGAAGCATAGTTGTGATGCTCCTTTCCAGTTGTATGGATTGACGTGCCACCTCCTATCAATTCCTTCCGATTCATTCCATCAACTGCCACTCTTATATTCATGTGCCAAGTCTTACTTTTACGGGTGGCCTGATTAACTTTTAAGCATTGGTTCATCTCAGCGTATTCCTACATCCCCTGTTTAGATTTACCCCCATTTTCCATTGTTCAAGCTCATGTTTACTGCTTTCGGACTAATTGTTACAGTAAGAACACATTATCCTGGACTTAGATGTAGTTTATATCAATTTCATTGCTTCTGACTACGGTACTTTTCTACTGCTTTGCTACTCGATTAGATGCAGAGCTCTATTCTTTTGTGGTCCTCCTCATGTTCTGTCTTTAGCTTTGTGGGTCAGTTGGTATGATGTTAGACAACCCAATTAGAATTCTTTCTCATAGATAATAATTATCGTAGCCCATTTAGGATAGTGCAACAATTAGATCCTATACCTGATTAGCTACTATTGAGAATCTCCTCTAAATGCACATAGTGATGGAGGATTTAAACTGAAACTGATTGCGACCGTTGTACTTAGATGATTTTAACAAAAAAACATCTAATCAAATATCTTAATTTGTATCATCCTGAACAATGTAATCAGTTGCCGCCATGCTTTTTATTGTTTTACCAATTCTGATGTTCGTGCTTCCTTATAGAAGCATTCAGTTGCGTGGGTTATATTTGTATGCACCAGGTGGTTCCTTATGCCCGAGTTAGTTTTTGAGGCTTGGAATGTAGATGACATGCAGGTGGTTCCTTATGCCCGAGTTAGTTTTTTAGGCTTGGAATGTAAATGACATGCAGTTTGAGACTGTGGTTCGTATGTTAAGAGAATATGGACCTGGTTATTTAAGATGGATATAGTTTACTTTTCGTCTATATACAAAGTAGCTCTTCCAAGAATCTACACATATCACTGCTTCTTCTAATGTATACATCTTTCATTTCTTATATTCCGAAACACAAAGGGATGTTCGTTGAGTGATGTGGCAAAATGAGAGGATGCATTGTTTTGTACTCCGAGGAAGCTCCAATACTGCAATTTTGACGAACCTGTGTTTGACAGTTTCGGAGCGAGCGAGAACAAAACCAGAACCATAGAGTCTCTAACTATGAGGAATGGTTTCCAGGTTCTCCCTTTCGATCTTCTAACTTCATGGTACGTGGTCTACCATTTCTCCTAATATTGGAGATTGGTTGTTGACTACGTAACTGTGTACTTGCTATTGTTTAAAGTTTTAATCAATTGACAGCCCACCTTTTATTTGTTCATGCCAAATTCATCTAATGAAAAGTTAGTCGAGCTTAATTGACACTCTGCAGGTCGGGATTCATAGTTGCATGATTGATTCGATATATGTGATGTCGTGTCGGCAAAGAGATCTGTATAACTTCTAGAGTAGAGCAGTCATCCACAAACCACGCAGTTGGAGCTTTATGATACCTTTTCCTTCATATTTCTTAGAAGTTACGGATGAATGGAAATTGATTATAGTCGTATGTACAAGTCATTTTTCCCTGTTGTCGTTTCGGTTGGATAATGGTGTTTGTGATTGTATTACAGGGTCCAATCTATCGTTGTTTGCGGAATAAATGCATTGCCCACTCACACATTTTTCCTTCTAGAATTATTCTGCTCTGACCACTCTCAGGATATACGCCTATCTCCCTCCGTTGTTTCCGTTACCGTTCTTCGAATCAAAAGCCCAAGTGTGGACTATTTCAATGCACTGCTATGTTATGTTTGAAACATTACTGGCTCTTCCATTTTCCTTTGTCATTATATATTGGATTGGGAAGCTTAGCAGGCGTTTACTTTTTGCTATTTATTCATGCCGTTAGAGTTGGGTTTTGGGTTAGGATGTCTTCCTTTTTCCTAGGGTGAGATACAATTTTTGTTCCTATTTCTCACTTTTTTATTGTATGGGAACATATTAAAAACACACGTTTAACGCGAAGCGAAGCGAGCGGGTCCGTTCTAGTATTTTAAAAGCCTTAATTTTCTTCTTCGATGAATGGGTGGGCTTTATTCATCTAATACGGTCAACACTTTTTGTTTAGAACCTTCAACAATACAACTAACCAACTGTAGTCCTACACAACTTCAGTAAAACTAACTACAATACAGACTTTACAATCAAAGTCGAATATGTCTACTTACAACTTCAGTAAAACTAACCAACTGTAGTCCTATTTACAACTTCTGCGAACTTCTAGTTTTAGCCTCTTTTGCCTCCATTACTTCTTGCATCTTCTGTACCACTCCTTCCACAGTCAATTCCTTCTTTCCATATAACCTCCTGCAACGTTCTTACCATATTTCACTTAGCATCAAGCACCACAACACTCTGCCTACTCTAAAACTTCCTAGTTCCCTCACTGCAACTTCGACTACCAGTGCCACCTGCAGAGCCAAGCCTTCTGTGAAAACAGCTTGCCAAACAACATGCACATACATACAAGAGAAGAACAAATGCTCTCTAGTTTCTTCTTCCATCTTAAACAAAGTGCATTTTGTATCAACAATATGGCTCCGTTTCTTTATGACATCTAGTGTATTAGTTCTTCCTAGCAGTATCATCAAGGTAATTAAAGAGTTCCTAGGTATGACTTCTTTACAAATCAATTTTGACCACCATACCTTTTCCACTCTTGTTTTTACAATGTTCCATAGTTTGCTGATATTGAATTTCGTCATTTTTCTCCTTCTCCTCCCACTTCTTGATTTGAGACCTTTATCTTCTCTTCGAACAATCCTCTCAATTTTAGGATCTTGTTCCACACACATGAACCTTTGATTTGTAACTCCTAGATGCTTAAATTCCAAAGAATGTATTCCTTTAACCATGCTATCCATAATGTTTCTTGATAGGAAAGGATTGCCCAGATATACCTTGCTAAACATGCTTTATTCCATGAAAACAAGTCTTTGAATCTTAGTCCACCTTCTTCTCTAGGCAGGGCCACCAATTTCCATGAGACCTTATCCCTTTTCTTCTTCTCGGAGTCACTCCACAAAAATTGAGAACATAGCATTTTTCACTTATTTAATTACCTTCTTTGGGAGCAAGATAACATTCATCCAAAAATGTATCATGCTTGCTAATATTCAAATCACTAAGTTCTAACTTCCCTGCATATGACAAAAGTCTCGGCATCCAACCTTGTATTCTGCATGCTATCTTCTCTATTAATGATTTACAATCTTCGGAGGAGAGTTTACCTGCATTTAGTGGGATTCAAAGATGCCTGACTAGGAGTACACCCTCTTTGAACCGTAAGTTTTAGCTCAGACTTCAAATCATCTAACACCCTTGCACTATAAATTTAACTCTTACTGGGATTACAGTTTAGTCCTGAGATAAGATAGAACTTTTGCAGAATCTTTGCTTCCACTTTCACCCCTTCCATCAACCCGTTAGTGAAAATCAGGAGGTCATTAGTAAACCGTAAATGGGTTAACCCTATTTTGCTGCACTAAGGATGACAAGGTAAGACTGTTCTAGATGTTTTCCTGTCAACATAAAACTAAAAACATCCATACTTATGGCAAACAAATATGGGAAAAAGGACATCCTTGCCTCATTCCTTTTTTTTTTCTTTGAAAACTCCCACTAACCCTCCATTCATGCAATCATAGAAGCTAGCAAACTCAAGGAAACCATGGATCCAATCAAAAACTTTTTAGGGAACCCCATTGCAATCAAGACACAATTTAGGAAATCCCAATCCACCCTATAAAATGAAGTCGTAATATCGATTTTAAGAGCACACCTAGGGGCACATTCTTCCTACGGTACCATTTCACCATTTCATGTGAAAGAATGATGTTAACTATTATTAGTCTTCCTTTGATAAATGCAGATTGATTTGAAATGATTCCAGTGGGTAAGATTGTTTTGATTATGTTTGCAAGCAACTTCGAGATGCATTCATAGACAAGGTTACAACAGAAGATGGGTCTAAAACATTTCATTATATTAGCATTGGGTATTTTTGGAGTAAGGGTGAGAATTGTGTAGTTTACCTCTCTTCTCATCTTCTGAGTTTGGTAACATTATTGGACAACACATATGACGTCTATTCCCACCAATTCCCAGTTGTCTTGGAAAAATTCTATTATTCCCTTCTTCATTCCCATTACCACTAGTTTAACCTCTTCATCAGTTACCACTGTACAAAGATTAGAGCAATCCCCCTTCAGTCTATGGTATGGTAATTTCCTCAAGATATCGACAGAACCCCTTTTTAACAACAGGTCTTGTTTCCTAAGTAGCTTATGTTAGAATTGAACTGCTTCTTGACCCATTTCCTCAACATCTTCAAGTAATTTGCCTTCTTCAGTCATCAGCTCTTTGATAGTATTCCTGGATTGCCTCATTTTAACCATACTATGAAAGTATCTCGAGTTTGAATACACACAATTCACCCACTGTTGTCTTGAATTTTTATAACAAAAAAGTTATTCTGCCCTCTGTACCTCTAGAAGCTGGACCATACACCTCTTTTAGCTTGAACAACTAAAGAGGCAAGGCACTCCAACACTTCTAGCGCCAGAGCTAGTTCTGCTTTAGCAATCCTTACTCTTGCATGGATATCAGAATAGTTCTTCCTATTTAACTTCCTTAACCCGACCTTAATATGCCTCAATCTTTGATACAGTATTGCCCTTGCATTCCCTGTAATAGACTGGTGTCAACCCTCTTTAACCGAATTTCCATACTCGATCTGATGGAATTTCCAGAAGCTGAGGTATTTGAATGGTCAAGGAAGAGTCTTCAAATTTAAGTCAATATGAATAAGTAATTCATAGTGATCCAATAAACCAGGCAAAAGAATTTTCTCATTGCTTTTGGGACAACTGTCCAACCATTTTTCTGAAACTAAAGCACTGCCTTACCGCTTCGATATTGGATTCTGAGACTGCTTGTTGGTCCATGTAAACCATGGATCTAACACTTTGTGTTCAATCAGTTGCATATCATTGATCCACGAGATGAAGTTTTGAGCACTTTCCCCCAATCCTCCAGCATTTGAAGTCTCACTTGGAGCAACCACTACATTAAAATCTCCTACAACCATCTAAGGTAGTGCCATATTCACTTTTGTCTTAAGTTCTTGATACATTTGTTGTCTCTCTATTACTTCATTCTAGCCATATATAAATGTGACTGAGTTATCACCTTACCCTGAACCAATCCATGAACATAAAAACCATTACTGTCAAGGACTGTAAATTAACTTCAAGTACTTTCTCCATAACACCCATATTCTCCTACCCTGAGTAGGTGTCCTTATACTCCCATTCCGGGAAATTATCATTAATTATTTCCTTAAATCTATCTTTATTACTCTAGTTTCCAAGATCTAGAATTCCCACCTTATACGGTCTAACTACTTCAACTATACTTTCTTGCTTAGCAGGACCATTGAAACCTTGCATTTTCCATACTAGGATATCATCACTTACTTGTTTTTCCCCCTTGGAGGGCCGACATAGTTTCCCCTTACCTTTCTTCTGATTACCATCTTTCCCTAGTTTTGGAAAATGAACAGGGTCCTTCTGTGGAGATATCACAAGTTCTCCTACTTCAATCTGTTCTAGTGATGCCAGAAGGCTAAATGAGTTCCTTGTAGAGTCCATACTTGGTCTAGGGTCTGCAATTACAACCCATTGAAACTCAAATTCTGAAGGAATATTCCTCCCCTGCCAAACCGAGCTTCCCTCAGAAAGGGAAGTGATAGTCCGTTATTAGCACATGTTTTGGGCATCATTATTGATCTGTTCGAGAGTCGATTTTCGTGTTTTAAAACGATTTCACGCTAGGTTGTGCGTTTATGTCATATTTCAAGACTTAGCGTGGACATGTAGGCGTGAAAGCGAGTTTCGGATAAAAAATGGAGAGTTGACGCCTAGAGGAGGTGGAGGCCAAAATACCCGGTTAGGACACTCAAATACCCGATTGGGTATAGTCGGCTGGGCGAGCAGGTATTCGACTGAAAGAGCTATAAGGAAGAGAATGGGGCCCGCCCGAGGGGCATAAATACCCGATCGGGTATTTTAGCCCTGGATCAGGTAGCACCCCCTGAGTCACTGCGATGCGTTTTGAATTACCCGGCCAGTCCCCATGAATACCCGACCGAATATTCTGGCCGGGTATCGCGAGCGACTGTTGTTTCAAGGGAATTTCGAGTTGTTTGGCAAGGGATCCGAGTTTTGGAGAAAAAAAGAGAAAAATAGAGAGAGAAATTGACAAAAAAGCCTCCAAGTGACCTAGATCGAGATTCAACATCATTGGAGCTTGATTGAAGCGTGGAGAAGTGTCGATTGATAACCAGAAGCCAATTTTCATCCTTCTCAGAATGATTTACGCATCTGAAGCTAATTTCTCTTCTCTCTCTATGGAGTAAACTCTCTCTTTCACTTAGGTATGAAGAACCCTAGATTTGTATTTTAGGTTTGGTTGTATGAACCTAAGTACATGTTCTTTGACATCGATTATATTCAATTGAGGCATGATTTTTTGAAGTGCATGAATCCTGATCGAATTCCTGTATTTCCTGCTTTGACCTAGAAAGAGAATATCTGCCTAGGTTGATACATCACCCTTAATTAAAGGTGGTTAATTGACTACTTTAGTCGAGGATTCAATTCACTGCTCTGTACTGGATTTACTCCAGTAGAGGAGGTTTTGAACGTTAGGGCCTTAGTTTGTTTACTCCTATAGAGGTTAGTCGCCCGCCGGGTATCTAGATTGAGAGGGTCTGGAGACCTTTAGTCGAGACTTCAGACTGAATAAGAACCTTCCGCAGTATAACTGTCATTGAACCTGGACTTGAAGAATTATAACCCGACTTAACTGCAATCTAGGGGGTACCATATATGGGTGACCTCTCTCAAACTTGAAACACAACTTTTACTGCGTTGTGTTTGTTTAGCTTAGTTAACACTTCACTACAGTCAAACCGCTAAATAATAAGAACTTCACGGAGTAGTCATCACATATAGGACTCGGGTTGACAATTAAAGCTAAACCCGCTATACTACGCATTAGTAGGTGGTTACACTTGGCCAATTTCTATTGTAACGGTACAGGCGAGTCAATTTTTGGCGTTGTTGCCGGGGACGACTAGGTTGTTGAAGAAACATGATTTTTGTTACTTTAGCATTTCTTTTCCGCATCGATTGTTTTGCTTTTCCCCACTGTGTGCAGGTAGTGCATGACCTGTAGCCAGTCGGGAGCATTACTAACGTTAGATCCGGAGCTAGAACGCACTTGTTGCCGGCTTAGGCGAGTGCCGTGAGCGAGACTGGCTACGACAGATGAGCATATTGACGGTCGGATTAACAGTGACTCCGAGCAGAAAGACGACATGAGAGACGAGAACAACGGGATGAACAACATGAATCCGGAACACATCCCATGGGGATGCCAATCCAGGCTCCTCCAGTGAATCAAGTCCCACCTAATGGCAGTATTCCACATTCAGCCACTGCCAACCATTAGTTTCCTCCCCAGGGGCCCACTATGGAGTATTTCTACACTCCACGGATCACTGACATCCGCACCGTCATCCAGCACCCGCCCATCTCTGCCAACAATTTCGAGATTAAGCCATGCTAGATCCAGTTGATTGCATCCTCAATCCAATTCGATGGGCTCAAGGATGAAGATGTGAGGGTTCATCTTTTTTGTTTCCTGTAGCTGACCAATGGGTTCAAGCTGAACTGCGTATTTGGCCGACAATTTCGTACACAGGTCGTATCCGACCTTTAAGACCTCAGAGATTCAGCGGGAGATCACTCATTTCTGCCAAGAAGATGATGAGTCGATGTGAGATGCTTGGGAGCGATACTTGGGTCTGTTCTGGAAGTGTCCCCATCACGGCTTTAGTGATTCATTCACTGTGGGGAACTTCTATAGTGCTCTATCTCCGGAGAGTCCGAGACTGATTGAGTCTTTATGTTCGGGTGGAGACATTCTCACTAAGACTCCACCCGAACTGAATAAGATGATCAGTACTTTGACCGCCAGAGATCATTCTTCGGGGTAGATCATCAGAGGTAGGAGCTCTTGAGACAGAGGTGTACATGCCATGGAGGGCAGGTCAGGGCTTGAGCGTGAGGTGGCAGAGCTGGTTCAGACATTGAAGCAGCCCAAAAGACTCCTACTAGGCAGAGGCATGGTCGCACCTCCTGTAGCACAGTTCAAGTGGTGTGAGAGTTCGAACCACTTGATGGAGGATTGTCAGGCTATGCGGGAGTCCTCCACACCCTAGGAGCAGTTGGACTTCATCGCCAATGCTCGACGCCTTGAAACATATAGTGGTAACTATAATGAGGGATGACGACAACATCCCAATTTCTCCTAGAGTGGCAACAACAACAACACCACCAAGCCTCTCGGTTTCACAGCACCAGCTGGTGGTTTTCAACGAAGGCAGCAGTACCAGAAGCGACGGGGTTCATTTTCTCTGCAGCAGCCTTTTCAGCCCAGATAGGGGCAACCTTTCCAGAATAGTAGAGGCAATTTGCCCTAGCCGGACCAGCCCTAGCACAGAGTGATCGAATGTCAGAGCTGAAGAATATGGTGATGGCTATCGTGACTACCAGTATAGAGAAGTTTTCCAAGATGGACCAGTTCATGGAATTCTCTATGGGGAAATTCAATGCACTGGAGGCAGTCCAGAGAAACCATAGTGCTATTTTGGAGGACCGCCAGAACCAGATTGGAGGAATAGCTCAAAATAACAGCACTAGGGCACCGGGAACTCCACCTATTAACACCATCCCAAATCCTCGTGAGCCTCACCAGCAGCTAGATGCCATCACTACTAAAAGTGGCAAGACGACATCTATTGTACCTGCCTCGGCCAGGCAGGAGGAACCAACACCTGCTCCATCAGTTCTAGCTGAAGATGAAAAGGTGGGGCTAGAGAAGGAAGCACCTGCTCCCAAGTGCAAAAATAGAGCAAATATCGTCCAACATTCGATTTATGTCGCATCAAGAATACCCAAACCGCCCTGCTATAAGTGCCCCAGATGTCAATGTGAATGAGTTCAAAACAAGACGTAGTTTAAATGGAGCTAGAATCAAACGAATCGCGGGTCTATTTAACACACAAAAAAGACCGACATGGTTCTGAATTCTGAATAAAGGAACATTCAACAAGTTTCTACAAAGAATGAAGCTTCGCCATAGACGGATGACCAAGGCGTGCATACCACATCTATGTACCATTGAGAGACCGCCAAATTAAATGCGCCACTGGATGCCCATCGTCAAACAGCCTCCTGGAGGGTAAGTCTTGAATCACACAGAAGTCACTCAAGAAGATCAATGCAACTGGGAGATAAGCTGTAAGTTCGGTGACGAGTCCAACTCGGCATCCAATAAATAATTTTGGTTAACAATTTGTTCACTGCAACTCGAATCTATAACCCAAGACGATGAGTTAGAAGTGAACTTACCAGCCATGTTGGAAGATGGTTCGAGGGCAGATTGAGCAGCTTGCTTTGTATCGCCACTGAGGAGGGCCTTCAGCTACGCAAACTGAGAAGCTATGAGGGCCCACAGGGGGCTTTCATCCGACTCCACCTGTGCAGCATGTGGCGTCGAACGCGGGTTCTTGTCTGGTCGGCGACGAGGTGGATGACCCTTGTCTCCAGTCCGCCGCGGGAAATCCACAATGCGATACCAGGTATCACTAAAATGCCCAACCCATCAGGATCATGCTCATGATCCCGCTCTCTATCATGGTCGCCTTGACCGCTAGAACGATCAGGACGTCTCTCCCCCTGAGCCTGAAAGGCGGCGGCTTGAGGACGCGGCTTGCGACTTCTAGCAATCTGTCTCTGCTGCTCGTCGTTGATGACAAGTTGATATGCTTCTCCAAGCGATGAAACAGGCTTCATCGCAAGGATCTGGGACTTGATGGTGGAAAAAGCATTGTCCAAGCCTATTAAAAAATCGAATAAGCGCTCTCCTTCTGGAACCTCGCGTTGCCGACGCTTGACGTCGCAAGTGCACCCAACGCACGTGCACTCTAATGATAGAGACAACGACTGCATCTTATCCCATAGGCCACATAACTTTGTATAGAAAGCTGAAACCGATGATTTTTCTTGTTGTGAAGAACTTATGCACCGCTTTAGGTCATACATACGGGAAGCATGCACTTCCTTGGCCAAAGCGTGCCTGCAAATCAAGCAAAATTTCTTGAGTAGTGGAAACAAAACGAACACCGCTACGTAACTCTTTGGTCATGGAAGTTTATAACCATTCCTTGACCATAACATTGCAGCGGCAGAGGGCATCTCTCGAGCGGCGTTTGCACGGGCGGAAGGCTACTGTCAACGAAGCAGATCTTATTTTTAGCCACAAGAGAATCAGTGATATCCATCACCCACTCGCCATAGTTGACGTCGGTAAGAAGTTCTCCGACAAACAGATTACTAGGGCTGTCCGAATGATGTAGTTGAAGATGATAGGGCAGACTAAGCTGACTTTCGTCCCAGTTTCGACGGTTGACTTCGAAACCTTGCTAGTGGAATTGGTGCCTTCCTCCATTGAAAAATAAACGGTGGGATCTAATCACAACTCTGATACCATGTAAAATTCGATGATAGCGGATAAGAAATCAAGCACAAGAACCGGATTTACGTTGTTTCTCCATTCAGATTGAACGAGACTAGTCCACGGAGAGCTTAGCTCTCGGTTGCGATTCTTATTGTCTATTCTTTCTTACTTAGGGTTCTCAGCACATCCAGCCGACTACATATACATAAAACCTAACCCTTTTCAATAAGTCACGTAGGGTTGGTGAAATAAATGAAAATAAAAAAATAGTCCTCAAACTTAAAATATCAGACAAATTGCACCGCAACAATCTGATGTCTTGTTAAGTTGTAGTAGGGATTTCATTGTTACTAATAGTGATACCACTGTTATAAGAAACGAACCGGATCAACGGTCAAGTCAGTAAAGTCGTCAGACCAGTTACGATAGCGGTTCGGTTCATTGATGGACCAAACGGTTTTTCACGATTCAACATAAAATCAGATGAACCACCATGGTTTAATTAGTCCACTAGTTCATTGTTTTAACCAAAATTTTTTTAATAATACTTTAACAAAACTAAGAACATCAAACTATAATTATTAATTTTATATATACTTCCTCTTCTCATTCCAACTCTGTTGTCCACTATCGACTAACACCGTAATTTTTAATTTGAATAAAAAAATATAATTTTTTTGTGAGATGATTTGAATGATTTATTAGATACTTTGGTGATGATATGAATTTGAAATTGTTTATGGTCAATGATAACTTCATTCTTAAATTAGTGTAATATACAAGTCTTATATGATATATATCATGACCGGTTCTATCAATGGTTCACAAACAGTTTCGTAACGGTTAACTTCTGAACGCTAAACCACTAACTTTTCCGATTCAGCTTCCGATCCGATTCTGAAAACAGAGAGTGATACACATTTATATTAAATCAATAATCACTTCTAAAAAAAACTACTAAAAGTTTAGAATCTTTATAAAACATCATTACTAAAACTATGAAATCGTCATAGCTTTGTAATAACTACTGTGAAATCACTATTACAAAATCACAACTAAAAAAAACTACTACATTCTAGTATAAAAAATTCAGATCTATAAGAATACTAATGCAAAGAATCACGATTGCTACTATGAAATCACTACTGCTTATTATAAACCCACAACCACTTCCCTACCCATCATGATCGTAATTTGTTCAAGGTGTCAAGGTTCAAAATTTACTATCGCCAACACCACCAGTCACCATTGCATCCATGATCGTTAGATGGATTGAAACTTGAAAGGTCGACTTCCCCGCTCCTTCTCCCTGATAAAAAATACCTCCATTGCCGTGGCGACCTTTCACCTCTTCCTCCATTGCTTTGAGTTCCGCCAGCCTATCTTTCCCGGGATAACATTGGTCAGTGACTCTTCCTCTGCGTTGCTTTATTTGGTCAATTCGATGTCGGATATGGGAGAGTCGGAGCAGGAGCAGGAGCGACTGTTGAAAGGGATGGTGGATAGAGGCAGCTATAGCAACATTTTCATATGTTATCGACATTTTCTATAAATATCGTAGTAACTTTAAACGACAAATAAAAAATGACATTTCAATGCAATTAGTCGTCATTTTTTAGAAATATCACCGTAAATCTACACGATAATTTGACATCTTTAAGCGACATTTAAAAATAACGCCATAAACCGTTTTTTTTTAGTGACGGGAGAGGGAGAGAGATCACCCTATCTATTCCCCACAAATGCATGCTAAGTCCTATGCCCCAAACAAACACCAACCAATTTTGAAGTATATAACCTGAACTGTATAACTTTGTATCTTGCCACCCTAATATAAAATCCCTATATCATACTGGGTTAGTAAGATTACACACAAGGTGGTAGGAACTCGTTGATGGTTTATGGGATATTCAAGGTGATTTGTATGTTATGTTGTTTCAAATTGACAAAACTGGAGGGGACTATTTGTTGATTTGGAGGTGATGGAAGATTTTGAACAATATCTTGATGCTACTGGTCTTATTGCCTCATTTAGTATGAGGGTCATTTACACGATACAATCTTCATGAGGATGAATGTCTTATGTGGTGTAACTCCTAAACAAACACCTTATATGGAAGGAGATATACTTGGACACAAACAACAAAGACAGGTTTGGGTATATAGATGCATTTTTATTGTTTTTCATCCTTAAAAAGAAAAGAAAAAAAGTCACTAAACGTCAAATTTGTGGATATTTCTCAATCTATGTCAATCAAAGACTAAAACCAACAAACCTTTAATAAAACTTGTCAAATAATTTATTCCTTATTGAAAACAAATATAACAATCACCACAATTACACATAAATATACTTTTACTAACGAATACATCAATTTTAATTAAACTATATCTCGAGTTTAGTCCAGCACTTGGAATCCCCACGGATAGGCACCTCGCTAATATACATCGTCATGTGACATTCCGTGTACACCGACCCTTTCTTCTTGATACCCATTATCGACATCTTCCCATGCATCGTCGCCGTCGCAGTGAGGTTCAAACTACCGCTCACAATATCGTTGATCGCCTTGGGGTTCTCCCTCAGCTTCTTGGCCCTCAGAGTCGCCTGCGCCGTGATGTTCATTGAGGCTTCCTCGGGGATGGTGTCGGCCATGATCGGGACCCACCCGACAAGCTCCCCGTCGTAGGTTATGTGGCTGGTCGTGTTCTCGAACTTGAAGCTGCCGTGGTTCCTGTTGCGAATGCTCATCACCATCACGCTGGTGATGGTGTCCTGCGTGATGAAGTCGTCGAGCTGGAGCTTGGCTAAGCCCGTAGGGTAGAGGACGAGCTCCGGGTCGTGGCGCTTGAACACGGTGAACGCGAGCGTCACTAAAACTACGGTGGTGATGATGGCTATAACTGTGGCGGATATGCAGCAGAGTTTGAGGGCGTAGTTTTTGTCCTTTATCATGGTTGGAGAGTGTGGAGAAGGGTTGAGAGAAGCTGTGGGGGAAGAAGAGGATGAGGAGGATTGAGTTGGGTAAGAAGAAATGATTTGCTGGATTATGATGATGAGATTTGGAGTTTGTCCTAACGGTGCGGTATTTAAGAGGACGAGATGGAGTGGTCACTATTGATGTATTTTAGTGACTACAAAATTGAAGTTTATGCGGGTGTGAAATGATTGGGTTGTCATGGACGATTAAATCCAAAATTTGGGTATTCTTTGAATACTGTGTGGCGTGGTGAATTGACTTTGGAGAACGAAATTTTGGGTTGTCATGGACACTAATATTCTCGTTCTCATGCGCTATTATCATGAGGGATTAATTTTGTTTATCTTGTGTACAAGCAGATCCGGGGATTTGTGTCGGCTATAATTTGATTTGTTAGACGTTAGTGTTCGATTTCCGTTGCGGTAGCGGCTGATGCTTTTGTGCGGTCGCAAAGGGCATATATCTGAATAAATACAGTAGTGTATGATTCAATATTGGAATCCTTTTTAATTTTTTTTTCTTGTAAAATATCGGAAGCCTTTTCAATGAGCTTTAAGGAATAATGGTTTGTTCTTTTTAACATATGAAAGTCATTATTATCGGGAAATTGTA